ATTTATTTATTTTTAATAGAGGTGCTGGGGATTGAACCCAGGACCTCGTGTGTGCTAAGCACACGCTCTACCACTGAGCTATACCAACCCCCACCAGCTTCTTTCTAATGTTGGCCCGTGGAGCTGACACTTCCCTAGTGCAGCTCATAAGTGAAGTGGATAAATAATAACACTGTCACGCAACAGAATATTATCCAGCAATGAGAAGGAATGACATTCAATGACATACAATAATGTGAATCTCTGTCACACACACGTTGAGCAAAAGAAGCCTGTCCAAAACTGAGCAGACAGTTTCACTTAAATCTATTGCTGGATAACAAACTGTCTCAAAACTCAGTGTCTTAAAATGATTATTATTTTTCATGATGTGTGGGCTAGTTGTGCAGTTTCCTCTTCTGAGTTCATCTGCGGCTGCGTTTGGCTGCAGGTTTGGCAGGGTTGGAAGGTCCAGGGTGACCTCGTTCACATATGTGGTGATGCTGGGTTCTTTTCCACAGAGGCTGGGTCACCTCCCTGATGTGGAGACTTCAGAGCAGCATTCCAGCAGGGGGAAGTGGAGCTCCTTAAGGCTGCGCCTCAGACTTGCATAGTGTTTATTCCTCTGCATTCTGTCATTCAAACCAAGCCAAAGACCAACCCAGATTCAAGGGGTAGGAAAACAGACCGCACCTTTTAATGAGAGGTCACCTTGCAAAGGGTCACACATACAGGGATGGGAGAAATCTGTGGCTGTATCTTCCATGTATTATAATATGATTCCATTTGTATGAAGTGGAAAAGCAGACAAAACCAATTGTTGCTGTTATAAATTCCTTGGCAGATAGGCCTGGAGGGGAGTGCGAGGGAGGCCATCTGGGTTCCTGGATGTATCACATGTCTTCATCTAGGTGACCAGAGTCTGTTCAATTTATGAAAATTCAGCTATCAACTTTAGACACCTGAAACTGTTTATGATTGCTATACTGAATTCAAAGTTAAAAATACACATAGTGGCTTCAAAAGGATGAAGTTCACTTCTCTTTTAAGTCACAGTCCAGTTGGTCAGGCTGTTGGAACAGCTCAGTCCCTGGAAGTTATTTGGGGCCCCAGCTTTCTTGCTGTTCCATCATCTTGCCCTTGCCTGAATAGCTGAAACTGTTCTTGGCGGTCTGTATTCCACCTAGTGGGAAGGGGGAATCCTGGACCAACATGTTCCTTGTGAGCTAAGGTGGAAGTTACACACATCACTTCCACTCACAATCCACTGATGAGAGCTTATTCTCATGGCTGTGCCCGCTGGGAATGTAGTCTTAGCTGGACAGCCTGTGCCAAGAAGCGCCAGTTTCAGGAAAAACTAGCAGTCTGCTGTGTTTTTAATGATGAAGCTGTTCTTTAGGGAAAGGGGGTGGGGATAAATTAGGAGTTTGGGATTAGCAGACACAAACTACTATATATAAAATAGATAAACAGCAAGGTCCTACGGTATAGCACAGGGAAGGAACTATATTCAATATCTTTTAATAACCCATAATGAAAAAGTATGAAAAAGAATATGTGTATATATACGTATCATTGAATTACTAAGCTGTATACCAGAAACTAACACACTGTAAATCAACTATACTTCAGTTAAGAGAAAAATTGTGTTAAAAAGTCCACTCAGAAAAAGCTAAGTTCCTTTTTCTCAGTGTTAAAAGATTAAACACACCAAAAGACCTGAGTTCTACCCTTATAATTCCTGTGTCAAAATGAAGTAAATGAAGGCCATTACAGACTGAAAACACTGTCTCTCAATACCAATATTGAAAACATATCTGAAGATAAATTTCTGCCGCTACCAGCTAAAAGATCAGCAAGTATTTCTTTAGTGACTGTGAATTCAGAACTCCTGGGCAGCTTTCTTTTACAATCATCATTCAGGAAGACAGTGATAACGGGGACTTGTCTGATACTTTGGTGCTACCAATGATACTATTTCCTACATCACAAACCCTGGCAGCTGTTTTAGAGAAAACACTGTTTCCTAACTCATTTCTAACCTTTTAGTAAAAATAAAGTTCCTCTTATAAGATAGTTTAAGGCACCAAAAAAATAAAAAGTCAAGAATAATCACCATTTTCCTTAAATGTATATTTTTAACTTATAAATATATAAGTAAATACATAAATTTTCAAATATACTCTTGGGCAGATTTCAAGAGCTTATATGCTTTCCTAGAAAAAAAGTGAACTGTCTTTGGAAAATTCCTTCTATGATTTTAGAAGAGCAGCCTCTAAAATGAAGTGTTCAATGAACAAATGAATGCATTTTAGCAGCCTGTATCTTACGTGCTGAGAGTACCTGATTAGGGCTTATAAGACGAAAAAAATCCTATAAAAACCTTTGCGTTTATTAATCTATTATATATATATTTTTATTGAAGTATAGTCAGTTTACAATGTTGTGTCAATTTCTGGTCTACAGTATAATGCTTCAGTCATATGAACATACATATATTCATTTTCATATTATTAATCTATCTTCTACTTACAATGCACTGGTGAGGAATTTTTACATCCAGCACATGTGTAGAGTATAGGGGAAATTTTTATTGGTAATAGAACTGGGCTAACGCATCAGAGGCCTTCTGTTTTCTCACATGTATGTTCCCTCTGTTCCCCTTCCCAACCCACTCCTTTGGATTTTCTGGCTTCCTTCTAGAAGAAAGGCTCAGCTGTAGCACTAACAGTTCAGAGTACACTAGAACTTTCCCTGAGACACCTGTCTCCTGCTCCCGGGCACCTGTCCAGGAGGATCTCCTTGGAACCAAGAAGTTAATAACTGGTCTAGGAAATACACAAACAATGTCATGGTCTACAAATTTCTAAAAGGAACTTTGTGACGTCATGCAGAGGCAAAAGGGGTGAGGGGGAAACTCAGGCAGACCCAGGTTCAAATCTCCGTTCCTCCCCTTCCTCCCTACGTGTGTATCCTCGGGCAAAGGACTGGATGTTCCTGGGCCTCAGCTTCCTCAGCGGCGACATGGGAATAACAGAACTGCAGTGAGAACACACGTATTCGGCCGTCTGTGGTGCTCAGTGAAGCAGCTTCCTCTCCCACCACCCACTTTGTCCCTCCAGAGCTCAAAGATCGGTAACCTAAGAAATTGCAGGGAAGCTAAACAATGACTAAAGCTTTAGAAAATAAGATCTAAGGAGAACAGGTGAAGGAATGGTAAGTGTGTCATATGGGAAGGAGAGCCCTTACTCTGGACAGAGAGGGCAGTAAATAACCGTGGCTGCCATTTGTAAGCAAGGAAGATGGCTGTCAGCCACTGGCAAGAGAGGACAAAGGCTACATCTTTCTTTGGGACTCATTAGAAGGGAACTCTCCAGGCCTCAGCTGCCTATGTGTGGGTTGCATGAAGGCAGGCGTGATGATTTTCCCTGGGGAAACGGGCTTGTGAGCACTGGGCTGGGGACTGATCTCCTGGCCCGAGCACCCTGCCCCTCCTCATTGGCCGGGGCTTGGGGGCTGGCACAGTTGAGTGCGTCCTTCTGTTTTTTCTGTATGTTCCACTGTTATTGTGGAGATTCCCTTTGCCTCACTCTAGTCATTCCCCAGGAGTTTGTATAAAACTAAATAAAAATATCAAAATATACAAATGAAAAATTTAAGCTTTAATCTCTCCGTTTTCTTATCCACAGAACAGGTTTGATAACTCATGTAACCCTGGGCGAGGGCTGTGGTCGTCAGCCTCCTCGAGCCGTCTCAGGTCTCATTTTCACGCAGCCCCAGCACCCGTGTAGGAGGCTTCCGAGGGCAGGCAGGGTTTGCCTCCTCCCACTCCGCGACTCCGAGGAGAAGCCAAGGCTTTTGCTTTCTTGCCCTAACTTTGATCTTTCACATTGTTAAGGGTCAGTGATTAGAGCTTAATCTCATGTCTACAATCCATTTCCTCTATGTGTTATTCTTTCTCAGTCAGATAATTGTGAGGCAACCAAAACAGAGTTTCTCTCCCCTCTGCATTTTTTTCTTTTGTAGAGACATGGAAAAGGTCAGTTCAATAGACTCAGACCCTGTGTTCTGAGCCATGAACTTTTTTTTTTTGAAGAGCAGTCCCCAAAGCTCATGAGAAACTGGATTTGGATTTAACTTAGATTGAGAACCTTATGTTTCTAATCTGTGCACCTGATTTTGAACCACTGGACTTAAATTGACTTCTAACACTGCCATACCTTCTAAGGGAACCTAAGCAAAGAACACCAGCCCCACATTGCCCTCCCAGGGTAACAGGGACAAACACAGTCACACTGAGAAAGGAGGGGCCACAGTTTGCTATTGTCCAGGGAAGGTCTCGTGGCCTCAGAATGCTGCCACTTCCCGCAGTTCCAGCCCTTGGCTGTGGTCCACCCTGAGTAAGTGAATTCCTCTGCTGAAACTTGCACACAATGAGGAGGTGGTGTCAGCAACAGCCAGGGAAGTCAAGGGTCCTGATCCATCCAGAGACAAGGTGGAGAGGCAGGCTGGGGAGGGAGGGGGAGCCTGCAGGTTAGGCCAAGAGTGCAATATCTTGAAACATCCTTGTGAGAAACCCACAGAAATAAAGCACATACTACGTGCATCTAACCCAAATGAGAGGCATCATGTGCTTCAGAGGAACGTGAACTGGCAGGCAAGTCAACCCCAAGACTTCAACTATAGAAAGGAGCAGGAGGGGGACAAGGAAGATGGCTCCTTACCTCCAGTATCTTGGTTCCAGATCTTCACCTTGCAGTCATGTGATGAGGTAGCAATTACAGGCATCAAGGCTAATGCCCTTGGTAGAAAGACACAGGATGCAACAGTCTGGAAATGCCCCTTATACTCACAGATTCTGTTCCGAGTCTGCCGTAGGTCCCACAACTGCAAAGTAGTGACAGAGGCTAGCTCACATATACATATTTCTCTAGCTTCATATATACTTCATTCACTGATACCCGTCTCACCACCCTCTCATGATGCATCTCTTCCCTCCACTTACCTCCTCACATGGCCACCCCTTATCTTCATCCATCCCATCCGCACATCCAAACATCCAGCCACGCAGTGACTATTCTGAGCATCAATAGGTCTCAAATAATCTGGGTTAAGGATGTGCCAGAGGGTTGCTTCCTTCCCCATTAACATCATGGTTAGGGAAGTGAAAGTTCCCAGTCCTACAGCCCAGTGGGGCAGTAGGGGGTTGCCTACTTTCTATGACAGCTCACGAGCTGCCTTATATCAGCCTCTTGGCATCTGTGGATGAGAAGTACATACAGGTGCAAACCCTCTGATTTAATGCCTAGATGCTGAATCTCAGTATAGGAAGACTAGATGCTATAAGGGAGGCGACAGTCATGCCAGCCCACTCTTGTTGATAGAAATCAGACCACACCTGGCAAATAACATGCATGGAAGGGAACAAATGGAATTGTGTCCGAAAATAATGAAATCATTGGACACCATGTCATCCAGGGAACAGTTGCAGGAGTTGGAAATGCTTGGAGACGAGATGCTACATCAACAGCCTGGAATTCAACACCTCAACCTACCACTTACTAGAGGTGTGGTCTTGTACAAGAGATTTCAACAAGAGATGTCTCTATTTCCTCATCTGTAAAATGGGAACTATAATAATACCTAACTCATGAGGTTGTTTTAAGGATTAATGAGATAATGCATGGAATGTGCTAAGCCCAGTGCCTCACACATAATGAATATTTGATAAAATGGGAGTTCTAAATGTTCTATTTGGATTAACTAGATAAGCCTTTTAACTGACATTCTACAATTAAGAATCTAAGGTAATTTGGAGGAGCCTAGGCAATCTATCCTGAAATTAATTGCAAGGAAAAATATATGGGTAAGGGGTGGGGTGGGCCCTTGACTGACACTGGAGCTCCGAACTTCCTGAAGAGCTTGGACGTCCTTTACTGTGGCCACATGTACAATACGGATGTACTTGGTTCTTCCCCTTTCTAAGCTCTGTTGGGAGGAGGGACATTAGCAGGCTGATTCTGTGTTTAGCACCTTTCTATCTTGACTCTCATCACATTTGTCTTTCTATGACCAATGCAGAGAGCCCTAGGCAATGGATGTTTCTGGAAAGAAGCATCTGAAATGCAAAGAAGCGCTAACAGTATGCACTTGCAATAGCCTGAGACGTTAGAAGAGCCTGCCTGTGTAGCCCAGAACATGTATGAGCCCAGAGGAAGTAATTTCTCATCAGCAACCCAACACCTGGACCCCACACAGTCTCTTACTGTGGCTTCACAGCCTTCTCCTCCAAAGCCGCTGCTGCAGGAGATACATCTGCGTCCATCCTCACTGACCTCGCAGTAGGTCTGGATGTGCTGCTTTATGGGAAATACATGAGCTACCTGCAGCCCCCGACTGTCCCACAGTCTGAAAGAAATTACAGCAGGAAATTGGTTTGCAGTAAATGTGCTGAAATGCACCTGGAATAGCCCGCCAACATAAAAGTCTTGGCTCTTTGCTGCTTCGGAATGTCACGATTTACCTAAAAACAGCAACATGAACCAGATCAGTCTCAGAGATTCCAAAGCTGGCAGGAAATAACCAGATTGAATGACATCTGAGTTCTTTCTATTTTGAGATCTAATTACTAGGAATCTAGACCAAGCATCTTCATTGTACAAGTTAATTTATTAATTTGGTCCTTTGGGATACTACTTTCAACAGACAGGATATTTCTGTGCCTGTGATTGTGATTTAAAATTTTTTATAAAGACGTTATCATGATAGAGAGGAACAGTCATCGTTCCAGAATCAGATACAAAGCATTTACAGGTCTTGGCCAGCCTGGGCCATGGGATCCACTGGGGAGTGTTTTGTTTTACCTCTTATCTCATTTTTACCTCTTTATCTCATTCCTACATTTTCTAAGTAGAATCTCTTCTGAGATCCAAAGTTTCTAGTTGTGCTTTCTAGTCTAGAAAAATTTACTTATTTGACTCCCCTGATGGTGATTCTGACCCTGCTTCCACAGGGAGGGCTTCACCTGAGGGCTGGGTGATCAAGAACATCTGGAGCCCAGCAAGGGCAGCTGGTAGACTTGGGCAGCTTGAAGGGGTGGGACGAGCAAGTCACTGACCCTGAGGTTAATCTGAACACGTTCCCACTACAGGGCCTCGCAGAATCACCTGCTTTGAAACTAACCAGAACAAGCTGACCTCCTGCCATTCAGTCTCCACTTAGATGATCCGTGGAGCCAGATCAGAGAGGCCCCAGCACCAGCAAGGGGCGGAGGGGTGGAAGGTGCAGGGAAGGGCACAGCAATGTAGAGAAGCAGAGTAGGAACAGAGTCATGGGTGCCACAAACCTTCACCAGAAACACCTTCACTGCTGCTCAGTAAGCCCACCTGATGGTTTTATCTTCAGAAGTCTGGAGTATATATGGTTCTCTGGGGACCCAGCACAGGTGAGTGACCTGGAACAAGCAAACTTTTCAAAACTTCTCCATACCATGTCATTCCTCTGCTGTTAATTCCTGTAAACTTTGCTAAATAGCCTCTCTGCCATCACTTCTCAAGGATGCTGAACTAGCAATCTGACTTAAGGGATTTTATGTTTCGCAGACACCCACTAGTCATGCTGTACCTGCATCTCCCAGGTTAGCAGCAGCAATGGTAGTAGCTGGGCCAGTTGTGAGTACTGAAATGCATGCCGGCACTCTCAAGAGTGCCTAAAACCCAAACACATGGGTGTTTGGTGCCTGAAACCACTAAAGAGAGCAGCCCGTGTTTTAAAGTGGGACCAGTGAAACCCTAGCCCACAGCCTCTCAGGGTTCTGTAAGCGTTCTTGTTTCTTTATCCTGCAGCCCTCTGCTGGACGGGCATGAAACAGTTCTCAAAACCACCCAAGGTGTCAGGATTTTCTTGCCTTCCCAGCAACTTGCACAAATATGGAAGGCACAGGGCCAGCACACCTTACCACTGGCGGTTGTCTTCAAAACCAGAAAAGATGACTATGACTGACATTTGATGACCACTAAAGGAATGTTAATGTGGCAGGTGATAGAATTCTCCCCATTTTATAAATGAAAACACTGAGACTCTAAGTAAGTTTCTTGGGGTCACACAGCTTAAAAGTGACGAATCCACGATCCGAAACCAGGTATGACTAACCCCAAAGGTTGCAGAACTGATGTATGAGTCTGCTACCAGAAAACACGGGTCTTCATAAACAGAGCAAATTATACATAAAGCAAAAAGATCATGCCTGTTTCTCTGCATAATGTTACAGAACACACAATAAGCATAGGCTGTGAGCTCCTGGAGGACACGGACAGTGTCCTGGGTCACTGATCCTGCTTCTAGCACAGTGTCTGGCCCCCAGAAGATATGGAATAAGTATGCCTTGAAGGAATAAGTGAGGACACCACTTAAAACTCCAATATAAACTAGTGGAGTTGTTCTCTGGAGCAGAAGACCTTAAGAGCTCATCTAATCGAATAATCCTGAGAGGCTGGGGTCTGACGGAGGGTTAGGGGTGAGCAGTAAGTAGGACCCAAGCCTCTAATGCCTGGTCCTGGGTCTCCCGACCTCTCTCCCAGGCCCTTCCTCACCCCACGCTCCCTTCTGCTGCCCTGCTCTGTACCACGTCTGAGTTCGTACCAGGTTCCTGGAGACTGACACTCTCTCGGCACACTGTCCGGTGCCCACATCCCACAGTAGCAGGCTGTTGTCACGGGAGCCAGTGCACAGCTGTGATGAGTCTTGGGAGACAACGGCAGGAAAACGGTCCATGAGATGGGCCCGGAACAGAGCTTTTCAGAAAGCACAGCGGTGCTGGGAAGAGATCGGATTTACTTTACCTGGACTCACAGCCAACCCAGTGACCACCATGGTGTGGCCAGAGAACTGCTGCCTTGGTTGTGAGGAGCCTTCCAAGTCCCACATCATGACCATCTTGTCGCGAGAGGCGCTGAAGAACTGGTCTGATTTGTGAACACAGGCTATCTGCTCAAGAGAAAAAAGCTCTGGTGTGTGTGCTTGTTTGCCTGGAAAAAAGACCCGAGGGTAAGTGTGCTAGAGCCTTGCGGGCTCTCAGTCTGGTTCAAAATGCACCGTGTCTGGCAGGGAAATGTACTCTGTGCTATGTGATGGTTGCTGATGCCTAGTTTCATTATAATGGAGTTTGCATCTGAATTTCTGGTTCATTTTGGTACACTTCTGAGAGGGGACTTATAGAAACTGGCATTCTCTTATCATTTTTGCTGTAAGCTCACTCTACTCTGCAGTGCTATTTAACAAATTAGTTTGTATTTAACTATTGTTGGCTTTTAAAAAATTTCCCCAACTAGACTACAAGGTTCCTGAGCATGGAGATTGTGACATTTTTCTAGCCCTAGTAAACACTGTGTAACCCTTTAATACATGTCTCTGTTAAGTTAGGTCGGGCAGAGTTATTCTCAGCTGTCCGCTATTCATCACCTGTGCTAGGAAGGGCTTAATAATGAAAGACAAATTGTGTCTAATACCTATAACGACAGCTCAATGAATGGTTTGCTCTGCTCGTCCTGGAGCAGGTCTTCACAGCATCGCATGAAACCCTGCATTTTTCCTTAACACTGGATAGTTACTCTTACTACCTAGAGCTATTAGATACTAATTCAGTTCCAAATTTTCCTCATGGTAATAATCATATGACAATTACCTTGGTAATTTCACGTTCATGTCCTTTGAACCTTTTCACCACATTTCCAGCTCTCCAGTTATAGGCCACCACTGTCTGCAGAGAATCATTAGAATATTTTAGTTTAACTGAATTTCTGTTTAACTGAAACCATAAGCCTTTACCCCATTTTCTACGTAATGTCTCCCTCGCTGTCAAGGTTTCATTATTGCACCGCTCCTCACAGCCCCCTACTTTGAGTCCCTCTGTCTCCCCCAGAGACACTGGGCCCCTTCTCCAGACCCTACCGATGGGTTTGGGATAACACTCCCCAAGGGGAACTGATCTGGGGTGAGGCTGTGGTTGTAGATGCTGAAGGAGAATCCACATGGGATTAGATTTTTTTTCACTAACTGTATCATACTTTTCTCTTTTTTTAAATTTACCATCTTAATCATTTCTAGGTGTCCAATTCAGTGGTGTTAAGCATGTTCACATTGTTGTGAAACAGATCATACTTCTATTTCTCATTCCAAAAAAAAAATCTCATCCATAATCCCATCTGCCAGAGAGAATCATTGTTGAATTTTCTTTCTATCCTCTTTCCAAGTATACACTTAAATATTTTGTTATGGGTGTTTCTTCCCTTAAACAGGATTTCAGAAGCATTCTCTGGCCCAGTCTCTGTAGTGCATTGCATGAGAGGAAGGAGCATGTTAGCACTTGACCTAGTTAAATCCCAGTTTCTTAATCTGCAAAATGGAGAGGATAATCCTTGCGCTATCTACCCCTCACAAGTGACAATTATGTAAATAAAATTCCATATTTCTCAGATGACATAGATGTTGAGACAAAATACTGCCAATTAAATTATGATATCATGCTTTATCATCAATTTTTAGATGCATCCTGATTTCAGAGGTGTTAAAATGTGGAAACACGTGTATCTTAGAATCAGTGAAATACACTAAGAAAATGGAATTTGAATATTCTAAATGACTACTGAAAATGAGAGACATTATTTACTACAAAAGAATCAATGTTTTTGCTACTGAGAGCCTAGCTCTGAGTGCTCTGATAGAGCCAAATACGTGGGGGGAAGAGAAAGCAACCAGATTCAAAGTGACAACTGGGATGCACCCCAGTGCAGACATTTTGGCAAAAGAGATGCATAGAAGAGAACAGAAGCCTCCTTTTGCTGACAGGTATGTCCTGTGTCTGCACATAGGTGTGAAAATGGATTGGCTGGAATAATGATATTAGTCACTTATAAAAAGCATGTGGGTGGTATGGCAGAGTGCCAAGGATCTTACCATTTAATCCTCATGACTGTTCTGTGCAGTTGGCATCACTATCCCCATTTAACAGATAAGGAGACTGAAGCTCAGGAGAATTAAAAGACTTGCCCAAAGTAATAGGAAGAGGCAGAGCAGGAATTTAAACCCAGTGTTTCTAATTGTAAAGCTGATGTTTTTACATACTCAACACTGCTGCCAGAAATGCAAAACCAGCATTTCCTTTCCAAATATCTTCCCTTCTCTGCAATAAGCTTGTTCCCTGGGAATCACCACAAACCCCACCTTATCTTTTCCTCCAGAGACACAGAGGTCTGAGTTCAAAGCGGCAACAACAGAGACGGTATCCACATGAGCTGGGCTGTACTCTTGAAAAGCTTTAGTTTGAATTCTCTCTTCTATAATTCCATCAGGCCTGCTAAAGAGAGGATGGAAAATGAGGGGCCCAATGGTATGGGGTGCACAGCGGAGCCAGGGGAAGAAGAGTGTGGGCTATGGTAGCAATTCAGGCCAGGCTGAGGAGAAAGACAGAAAAAGAGTAGAGAAGGCAGACCCGCTGACATTGCCGGAAATGGTGTTATTAACTCTGTAAATGCTC